AATGTGCTGCCGCAAGTGCTGATTCCTGATGAAACCCATGCATAGTGAACGTCTATGCAATCAATTCCTAACTGTACGAGGGCAACTATTAGAGCTCCTTCGACTCGCTAGGCCGTGGGAGCAGGAATCATTGGGTTGAGAAGTGGTCCCAGAGGACACGATTACGTGACCCACCCTGCCGATGTGCGATCCGCGCGCTAATGCGCGCGAAAATCACCATTTCAAACAGATGGCCCGCAGGTTTTATTATTGTGTTTCACGTTCTTTGGGGATCACTTCTAGTTGCTTTTGTGGTCAGAATTCTCGTTGATATCTCGTTCAGATAACTGCGATCTTTTTCAGAAACATGGCCGAGTTGTTAGCTGGCGTGAAAATTCAGCTGAAGGACGGAAGTCAAGTGGATGCCGGCGATTACCTCAAAGGAAAGGTTAGTTTGATGTTCAATGAGTTATATTGGTTCGAAATCGAGAAAAAAACGTGGATGGGTTAAATTCCAGATGGTAGGCCTCTACTTCTCGGCCAGTTGGTGTCCTCCATGCTAGCAGCGCTCACCCGAAGTTGAAGGTAAGCCTTGTGGGAGCCTCGGTATTACATTCTCTGTTCTTCTTTGACTCTCTGACGCAATCCTCAGAGAGGGGGAGCTCTGCGGATTGCGTCAGATTGACGGAAATGGTCAGATTCAGGGCTAAGCTTTAGAGAAGAGAGAATCCGAGGTGCATTAGAAATTCTCATTCTTTCCGCTGTTCTTCCCTCTTAGTTAGCCTTGGTATGTAGGAGGGAGGGGGAGGGCAGGGGGCGTTGGGGCTGTTCTCCTCCTTTTAAGTCGTTCGACTGACAGACATCGAAGCTCGAAGCAAGCTCAGGATGAGCTTGGGCTCAATAATAGGCCTACGCCTAAGGCTTTGCCTAAGCTAATCTTTAGATTTCAATGATCGCGCAGCTCTGGTGACCCGACCCCAGGAGGAGAACTGAACGTCTCCCCTACGTCGCCCGGCGGTTTAAGTTCTCCATTGAACTCTGATGCAATCTAGATTAGTGAACTTGGAAGGGGCTGGTTAACACGTTGACGACAGCCCCTTATGCGTGTACCTCGGCAACTTTTTGTTTATTTTTTTCACAATCGTCATAACTTCTTCAATAATTCCACTACTGGTAATTGACTCACAGTTTTTCGGATAAGATAACGCATGCACACAATTTCGAAATATGAAAAAGGCCAAATAAACCAAATAAAACTAGCCAGAATCGGGTGAAATTCTGACGCGCATGCGCGTCATGCTGTCGTCAACGTGGTAAAGGCAAGCGGTCAGATTCTTACGGTTTTAGGAAGATCTGACGATTCTTTCAAAGAATGTGTTCTTGTCGTGTGAATCGGTTTGATTCAGTCTTTTTTTTTAAAAGATGGAGCTATTGAGGGTGCCAATGCAGTGGCTCACTGGCATGCAAGGTCTGAAGCAGAATTTCCACAATCACTTCCCATACAATATGGCACCAAGTGACCGACCCCGGAGGATGAAAGGGTTGGATGGCCTAACAATAAGCGAAATTTGAGCCGAGATTTGAAACTCAGGCAGTAGGTGAGAACTGACATCGTTTGTGATCATTCCACTTCCGCTCGAAATTAATATCAGTAGTCGAATAGCGCTCAAAATTGCTATACGCTTACAACTAATCTGTACTTCTTATGTGTGTCACAAGTGACCAACAGTAGGCTGGTTTTTATTGAAGGACGGAGTTCATCATAAGGCAGCCCACAAGAAATCAAAGTGGAGGTGGTCAGCAATGCAGGGATGAAAAAAACCCATGAGCAACGACCTAATCCGCGGAGTGGGGCTCCTTCTTTGCGTTGTGATTTCGGCTTCATGGGATAGGTAGGGGGCGCCGTGGCACGAGTGACGAAGATATGGCCCTGCTACGGAACGAGACATGCACTTTGCTACAAATGCGCTTCTTCCCGCGATCCTTACGGGGCTTTGGCTGCCTTTCACCTAGGTATTATTCTCCCTCTTCTCCACAACTGTAAGAAACCTATTGCGTCCGACCTTATCGTGGGCCAATAGTTTAGAAGAATTCCCTTGGATGTAGGCTGCTTACACAAGCTTATCGTGGAAGTGATAAATGATTAAGGTTGCAGATGCTACTTCATTCGATGCTGACTCAGGTTTCTGGAAGCAAATGACTGCATAATGTGCTCACGTAGCTTACAATATTCTTAGGATCCATATAATATTACAGGCAAATTCTCTACTCTTGCAGAGCCATGCTCCGGTTACTTCTTCCGATTTTTATGGTCTACAATATTGGCAAAAGATGGATTCAATCCAACGAAGGGTAAGAGTGGCCTATAGCCAGGGAAGATACTTCTATACTGAATTATCCCAGGAAGCAGATAGTATCTCAATAAAGCTGGTAGAAACTAAATGATTGATACGTGTAGACGAGATGCGGAATGCGCCATGCCCTCGGCTTTTAATTGGAATTGTGAAGGATTCTGAACCCTCATTCTAGCGGTGAGTAGAAAAGACCGTAGGTATGAAAATGAATGGGCTTTTAGCAATGCAAACACATTTTGATTTTTTAACAAGGATATCCGATCAAGCTTTTGAAAACCACGAATAATGACATAGCTTTTTATGTAAAATGTGGCAGCTGTCAGGACAACAACACAGTTAACCAAATTTTATTAGTAAACATCAGGTGCGCGGGGTATCATCGATAGACGAACGTTGGCGAGAGCGGGTATAGAGATCATGAAGTGAGAGACCGATGACGATGACCGACGGGATCACAGGCCTGAAACAGATTCGAAATAATCGAACGTTAATTTAGGACCAAACAGAAAAATATCAAAGGCAGTGACCACGATGGCTGAGGGTGGTGCGGTTTTGATGACGTCATTCAACGTCGTTGGTGGAAGGGCATAAAGAGGCGGTCCTAATCACGCCCCCAGCGCGCTGAGGTTTTAATCCACCAATGAAGTTTAATAGCGTTCATCGAATCGCACCACTCTCTAGCATTCAAAGAAACCCCGAACAGTAATCTTCGAGATGCGCCATGCTCACGACCTTTATGTGCGATCGTAGAAGTAACTGGGGTCTTTCCGGTGATAGACTTGCGAAATGGCCAGGAATACAAGTAGTGTCTGTTCCCTTCTAGACGGAGAATTGGCCGTTCTGGTCAGAATCTGAACCCAAGTGACCTTGTTATGGTAGCTGCGCCTTCCCTAGCCGCATAAACGTGGTCTTTCAGCCTGCAGCGGAAGCTCGGATTAAGGAAACCATTTTCATGGGATACTGTAACTTTTTAGATAAGTGACAGTTCACTTCTGGAGACAACCAGTTATTAATGAACTACAGGGAGGAGTGGGAGGGGGGAATTTTTTAGACATTTGAAAAACATAGTATAAAGTCGCAAGAATAAAAAAGATCTACAGAAAGATTAAATTGAAACTTACTACACACTCCTCCTAAATTTTGTGGTTTGAGATTTTGCAGAAGTTGGTGGAGATAAGCGTTCTGTCCAGTGAACGACACCTGATCACGACGAAGCCTTGAAAAAACGAATTGTATTACGCATTTCTATTACATTTGAAGCCATGGAGCACAGAAATTGAATATAGGCGTTGCAATATCATGGCTTTACAGGTCTGTAGCGTTAGATTCGCTTTTCAGCAGCACTGTATCGTATACCGGAGCGCGCTGGAGGTGCGGAACGTGCAACATGTCCTCTATTTCGGAAGACGAGAAGGAGTGTCGAATGCAGAACACACACCAGAAATGACGACGGCCAAGAAAAAAGCCGCTTTTTCCTCCGTCGTGGTGGCTTGTGGTGTGTGGTCGGCTGAACTCGACGATCTTCTCGTCTTTCGAAACAGAGGGAACATATTTGTGAGAACCAGGGAAGTACCCCCAGAGCTGGATTATTTGGCGGATTACCATGAATTATAAATTTTTGTGAAATTTTACCGTGTGGAGCAACGAGAGATACGCAGCTAAAATGGAATGTACAGAGGTTTCTACAGAAAATTCTGCAGAGCTCCTCATTTTTTGCTTTTTGTGCACCATTACCGAGAGGCGGAAGTGGTGTAGTGGCGCTGCTTACCACGCGCGCGGTCGGGCCGTGGGATCGAATTCTGTCGTGCGCCGTCTAGGCCAGCAAACCTTACATCCTCGGGGTCGGCTAATTGGTCTTGGAGGATTAAAACACTGACTTGTACATCGGCTGGCCCCCGCAAATCATTGTATAGGCCACATCACATTCAAATGCCTTACTGCGAATGTACAAATGGAAGTAGAATGCGTGCCGCATCCTAAAAAAGGGCATTGATTAGCGGCAAATGCTTTATCCTTTATCCATATCAGAGGCTTCATCTAAAATTTTACGCCGCCCTCAATCAGCGACCAGCATTCTTCAGGTAGACCGTTGCAGTTGGTCTGCACTTGAGCGTGCTACATTCTAAAAAGAGTGGCTGCACAGCAGTGCGTCCTCTGGAATTTATAGGTACTTGGGATGAGCAAGAATCTCCCTTGGTGGCACAACCAAGAAATTCGTTCGGGAACGATTCGCATTGCGGTCTGTGGGGCAGGGCTTGGCGAGAACGTCACGATGTGCATTCCGCAATACATGGAAGACCTGACAAGAGCGCGCTAGGGCCTTGCCGAAGTAAGATGCTGAGCTGAAGGTTTTTCCACGTTGTTAGTCTGACGTCCTCCATTGTTGCGGTGTTCTTCCTCATACTCTCTTCTTGGCGCTCATGGTTAGTCTCTCATTGTCTTAGCGCAGCCCACTGCGAATTTGAGTAGGCCCTAACCTAAACGTTTCCGATGGATTCTTTTCCTTTTTCTCTTTACTGCCGACCCATTTCACAGCAATACGTTTGTATTCGTGAGCAAGAACCACACAAGTTCAGCTCTGGGGAATGTCTTTCAACCAGTTTAACCTTGCCTAAATCATACCACTTATGGGCCTGCACAAAAACATACAGCTGCCAAGTAAGCCTTTGAAAGCATCGCACCATTGTACTTCCCTAGGATTATTGGGAAAGAACATGCAGCCATCGCGTAATAACTTCGTACCTGAAGCCTAATGATGTTCTCTATGGGCTGATATCTGGCAGGGACTATATCGCTTTTACGCACAGCCATTGACGATCTGGAAAGAGCACTTCAGAGGAGTTGGCAGGTATTCCCACGTTCATTGATGGATTGAGCATGAGCGATTTGGCTGAAGGCGATTACATGGCACAATGTAAGTGTAATTGTTTCTGTAAATATTGTTTTCTAACTGGCGAAGCTTCACTGGGAATATCGATCATGGAAATTCAGTGATCAATCGAAAGCAAGCAGTCAAGACAGGCGTCTTTTCCTCGACAAAATAGCGCTGGAACGTGGCGCTCGCCTAAGTCAGAGCACAAGAAAGTTGTGATTTGAACTGAAAAATTCACTTGGAAAGGCCACGCTTTGGAAAGGGGCTGACAACTTCGAAGTGGGCAATAGTCAGTGTAGTCAGAAAAATCAGACAACAACTGCTCCACTTCCAATGATTTCAGCCTCCTTCTTAGGGCTCTTTAAGGGAGTTCTTTGCTGCTTTCTTATGTTGCCTGACTGGGCTAGTAAATTCGTTTCTCACACTTTAGGTGAGCAAAGCCTGCTGGACTGGTTGTTTCAATTACCGCGACGACGGGCTCCTGTATAGGCAAGAGCGTTGGTCTTGTTCACATGCCCTCTAGTGTCCGTGGACGACCGCTAGAACCGCAATGAATTCTAGCGAGGCCAGACACTTCTTAGAGATGCTATATCCTGTTCGGGATTGACTTCGTCGCCGCAAAGTCTTAGGTATTGTTCCAGAGAATGCGATATGTAGTTGAGCTTATGGGGTCTCTTGTGCCGCATGCGGGGCTGAGGAAGTATCTAATTGGGAATTGTGGGCGTATTCTCAGTCCAGCGCCAATTCTGCGTGTTGTGCTTAGGAGCGTGTGGCACTCCATTGGCATCCTACATACTGTAAATTTCGAAACTGCTCTCTTTTTCTCCGATAACTGATATGGCGAGACGATCCTGGTGAGATGATTCAACAAGCAATTCTCTCAACGTTGTGAATGGTTATTTTTTGAAAGAAAAATTACCTGGGTAGGTAGAAGAAATTCTCAAGATTACTGTAGTCGGCTGCACTGTCATCGATTGGTAATGCTTGGCACAGCACCATCACAACCGCCACTACCAAAATCACCAGCACCGCTCTTAGTGACATTACAGCTGAAAGTAGATGTGTAAGGAGTTGATGAGAGGGCGCGTGGTGTTCGTTCGGAACGGGCGATATCACGAAAAAAAAACAAGCAGTGATGATGAACAACAGGACTGGCTGGCGAAAAAAAAATAGAAACTGGGAAAGGAAATAAATAATAAATAGTGAGAAAGAACCCTATTTGATTATTATACAACTAGTTCATATTGTTGTTGACCCCACATTGAAGTAGTATGTAATTGCAAGGTAACTTTTCCCTAAGAATCCTTATAGATTTCAATGAAAACTACCAGCCAAATACGATCCTGCTGGAAAATTCATTTTGTGTGTGTGTGTGGGGGGGAGAGGGAGAAGCACCCTTAGCCATCTTATTTTCGGTCTTAGATAGGCCGTTTGGGATCAAACACTAGGCAGAAGATAATATGTAAACATTCGTAATGCACTTTTGGTAAAGAGCGGTGGATATCCTACAATCCACCCATCGTGCCCACACCCTAACCATTTCCTCTACCTAGATCCACCCTGAAGCTTCTCCCTTGGGGGAAGGAAAGATCTCATGTTTCTCGGTTCAGACCACATTGCAGTGCCAAGTCGTGGAGCACCTCAGGATTACTTTCAGCGTCACACCGGCTAATTATCGGAAATAATGTTACAAGATGACGGCGACTACATACGTGCCAGAGCGCTTTCTCATTGCTTATCTTAAGGCAAACCACGTGCAAAAACTTTGCCATGACTCTTGTAGTGATAGCATAGCTGCGTAGCGACCTGAAAGTGGAATGAAAAGCAAGTGAAGACTTTGGGAACGCTGCAATTAAGGACTTAACCTTCAGTAAGGTTGAATGTGGTACGATGACGAGACAGGGTGATTAAAGAAGAAAAAATACGCGAGAGGGCACGGGAGTGCACTCTGATCTCACCGTGGGTGGGGAGCGTTGCAACGAGGGTCGATGGTTGGCGGCTGAGTCCGGGGTTTGATCTTCGAGTACTGGCGGGGACAATGGAGTAGACTTGCGATCCTGCGCTTTCGCGTGTTGCCTAATTTACTTTGTGCTCCGGGGGCAAGGTGGCGAATCAAGTTTGCTTCTTTTTAGATTCTTTCAGATTCCGACACACATTCAAATTATCTATCTTTTCTTTCTATTAGGTTTAAGCTAATTAGATTAATTCCTTCGCTAGGTGGCGCCTTTTGCAAGAATTCCGATTCGGTGGGAAAATAAAGCTAGCAAAGCTTGCAAGAAAAGCGATTTAATCTAAGTTTTTATTCAATCTCCCACCATCTCCAGAAATAAAGTAGTTTATCAGTTCTCAGCTAATTTCTTCGAATTTTTTCCACATATTACCGTAGACATCAATCCACTGCACACAGGTCGAATGTAGTTCTATCACTTTTCTACTGTAGGTGAGAGGATATCCAGCTTCTTGATCGAGCTTTTGACGCTAACAATCAATGAAGAAGCTGGATTTCTCTTTCTAAGGCATAAGTTAAAGGCACGGGTCGGGATTGAATTGGTGTAATATTTTGTTCAAAAATTCAGGCAAGAAGTGCAATGAGGAACATTAGTGAGGAGAAAAAGCAAAAAGCACCATAGAAAACACTAAATTTCCCTTAGGAGGCCGGCCGTGGTATGACGGAGAGACACAGCGCTGCGAGGAGAGGGAAAACGCGAGATAGTACGTCGTACGCGAGAGGGCGCAGAGACCACGTATGCCGTGGTTGATAAGGATGGCAGCACGGCAGCACACAAGGCAAGGCCTTAGCGCCGTTGCCTCGCACTTTTGAGTCGCGACAGTGTCGCCTACGTTGCGGAAACCCCTTTCTCACTTTGGGGGAGGGGACTGGGTCTCGGGAACTGATCCCAACTGGTGGTTATGATATAGAAGGGAACAGCGCAGCGATAAGAGGCGCCGCGTGGCTCCCGGTCAGATCGCAACTACAGATCAAATCTCAGCTCATGTTAGCTATTTGCTTTGAATGCAATCGGTGTATCAGATACGACCTGATATGAGAGCTTATAACAACTTCAACGTACTCAACTCTTCAACGGGCACCGGTTCAGCATGCTTTTACTCACCTTAAGGCAAGATTCAGGATTAATTATGAGGTAATTCCACTCAAATGTGAAAGTAGGAGGTAGGGACCGCCAGTGGAGAAAAGAGAAAAAAATCGTGAAATACACAGGAAATACGAGCCTTTTGCTCTACGCTGCGGAGAAGTTCAAAAGGCCGGCAGGGAGATGAGAGATAATGTGAGCGCGGAGAGCGCTAGAGAAGTACGAGTAGAGAGAGCATAGCAGATCAAGTTGCGACGCAGACAAGATATCGAGCGGTGGGCGGAGCGTGTCGCAACAGGTGGAGCGTGTCAAAGTTCTTAGCGCCTAGCGTCTAAAGTAACGCTTTTCGAAGTAGGGAAGTGACGCGACCTCTGCACTTGCGTACCTAGCGCTTCTAGCCACCGTAAAGGCTCATTAAGTGGG